TGTATATATATATATACATATATACATATATACATATATATATATACATATATACATATATACTTATATATATACATATATACATATATATATATACATATATATATATATATATATATATATATATATATATATATATATATATATATATATATATATATATATATATATATATGAAACATTTAATTTAAAGGTAAGTTGCAATCCATGAATCCGAGTAATACCTACTCTTATTTGAGCAGTTACAATCAACTGGACTTCGAATGTTACCATTTAGGCCACTGGACGGGTTAAACAAATAAATTATATGACCATCAGTGTGCTAATTTTAACTGTGTAACACTCTGAGTGTGTAATCTAGCATATCTCTCTATGAGAGTGTATGGTATTCCCCTTGTGTCAGCTGTTGTCTAGTGCACATATTAAGATCCTATCCTAGTTAGACCTTGGGTTAAAAATATATTATTTTCAGATGTATGACATGTAGAAACATGACAAAACAACATAAATATTACATTTTTTTAAAACATTGTTTTGAACCTAAAACACATAGACGTTGATGGCTTACGTAAATAAAAATCAGTTATCAAATTGTTATTTCGAAGTTAAGCAAGATCGGCAGCAATGTTTATCTAATGTTTATACTTATTCCCTTGTTACTTCCCTTTTTACTTTCCTTTTTACTTCCCTTTAACGTCAAACATAAATGTATTTTTTTTTCATTGGCTCGTCCGCCTCCAATCAAATCCTACGCTACTAGGCTAAGAGGTCAATCGCGTGACAAGAAGCACTCAATGAACTTTAATATTGATTTGAAGTGAATTCAAAAACCTCGAAGAAATAATTTTATACCGTCCGGCCACTTCGCCGGCCATCTTTAGTGGTCATTTTGATCCGGAATTATCGATCGATCAAGGCCATTACCGGATCCACCAACTTCGATTACTTCGTCTCCATGATAGAGATACGGTGGTCAATTATGTAACGGTCAATAGAAAATCTTAGAAGGGGAGGGGGTGAATCGTATGGACACATATAGTGTAAAAATAGAAATATGATTGCAACATCGTGATTGGACATCTATTTGTAGAGGATTAAAAAAAAATTATAAACTTGTTTTTTTGTTTGTTCGCTGTGACAAACAAGTACTGTTGTTTTTAATATTTGTTTTTAATTATCTCTCCTGGAAAAAAAATTAACGGATTTCACGTTTAAGCAGACCATAAATAGTAATAAGAGTGAGATGTGTTTTGGTTTTTGTTCGTGAAATTAAACGTACGAGATGTGGAATCTGGGATCTAGACAAGTTGGGTAAAGCGAACAAAATATTCGTTAGTTGTTTTTTTTTTTTTGGTAATTCGAGACGACAATGATTAGACGGACAGAATTTGCCCGCTGAACTCGTTTTCGTTTAGCATAAAATTTTATCTTCTAACATCCAAACTTTTTTTATACAGTACATAAAACCCAGAGTGGTATACGTTTTTTTTTTTTTAAAGTTTACAATTTTTTTTACTTTGAATGTTCATATAGTTAAAAACTAATATATATTGCCCTTATACATATTATATATATATATATATATATATATATATATATATATATATATATATATATATATATATATATATATATATATATATATATATATATATATACGTTAGTGTGTGGCTGTTTGCGTGAAATAACTCCCGCCCCCTTCAAACAATCACACAATGACTAAGAGCAAAATATTTGTATCTCGATTAAAATATATTTATATTGACCTCTAATTTTAACAACTATTCTCAGCATAAATACTGCACAATCAGCGTAATAGTTTTTCTAATGCCAACATCTAGCTATTGTGTGTACAGCTACATGGTATGTGTTTGTTTGTTAAGTCCAGAGACATGATATGTGTTTGTTAAGTCCAGCGACATGATATGTGTTTGTTAAGTCCAGCGACATGATATGTGTTTGTTAAGTCCAGCGTCATGCTATGTGTTTGTTTGCTAAGCCCATGGTTTATCCCCACCCAGCGCCACATCCTGGTGGGTGAGAAGATCAAAGGCTACTGGTGTATGGAGGTCTGGACGCCCGTCCTGTCCAAGATCTACAACCTCTACATGATCCTGGTCGTGTTTATCCTGCCCCTGGGGCTCATGGCTTACGCCTACATCTGCATCTGTCAGCGGCTGTGGCAGGTCAGATACCAGCACTCAACCATGCGGGCCACACAGTGAGTATCATGACAAATACAACACTGACCAGTAGTGACCAGTAGTGACCAATATCTTTGACATTTTTTATATACGACCGACACGAATCAAGTTAGCTTATAAAACCATGTGTACAATATTAAGGTAAAAACGGCCTTTTAAAATGTGTCTGTAAGGTGGGGTCTAGTACTTCTATACCTTTGAGTGTTTTTTTTTTACCAATACAATATACAGGATGTAAAATTGCACTTCATTGTGGGAAAGGGGTGTTAAAACTTGGACAAAGGTGGTTTGCATTGAATAATTCTCTTAGTAAATGAGAATCCTATATTTTTTTAATCACGTTATCTTTCTCAAAATCATTCTCTCTTTCTATCTCGCTCTACCTCCCCTTCTCTCTCCAGAAACTATGTCCGGCCCGAGCGAGCCTTGCTACCGCTGCCCTCCCCACAGTCTGGCACAGAGAACCGAACATTCCTCAGGACGTCCATCTCCGTCTATGGCAAGAGGATCAGCTCAGGCAACGAAGATTCCACCAGGAAGCAGGTTCGTCTGCTGCAGTACTTGTCTGCTTCACTTTACGTCTGTCTAACTTAACGTCTGTTTCACTTTACATTTGTTTCACTTCATGTCTGCCTCACTTCATGTCTGTCTCTTTTTACGTCTGCCTCACTTTATGTTTGTCTCACTTTAAGTTTGTCTCACTTTAAGTTTGCCTCACTTCATGTCTGCCTCTCTTTACGACCTGCCTCACTTTACGTCTGCCTCACTGTACGTTTGTCTAACTACGCCTGTCTCACTTCATGTCTGTCTCACTTTACGTCTGTCACACTTTACGTCTGTCTCACTTAACGTTTGTCTCACTTTACGTATGCCACACTTTACGTTTGTCTCACTTTACGTTTGTCTCACTTTACGTCTGTCTCACTTTACGTCTGCCTCACTTTACGTCTGTCTCACTGAACGTTTGTCCCACTTTACGTATGCCACACTTTACGTTTGTCTCACTTTACGTATACCACACTTTACGTTTGTCTCACTTTACGCCTGTCTCACTTTACGTATGCCACACTTTACGTTTGTCTCACTTAATGTTTGTCTCACTTTACGTTTATCTCACTTTACGTCTGTCTCACGTAACGTTTGTCTCACTTTACATAAGCCACACTTTACGATTGTCTCACTTTACGTATGCCACACTTTACGTCTGCCTCACTTTACATCTGTCTCACTTTACGTCTTTCTCATTACGTTTCACCTCCCATTGGTCTCACGTCACCTATTCCCATGATATCGAAGATTTACTCTAAAGAATTATTTGAACGCCTAACATTATCTCGCCTCCGTACGAATGTAATGTTCAAACTAACAATTGAAATATGACTCTCTAAAGGTGGAGTGTTTGTTATGATAAATTGAAAATCTGACCTCGACTCAGGAGTCATGTTACAATGACGCATTAGCAAACCTGACTCCATTCACTGGTGAAGTCTGAATAATTCATTAAAAGATCTACTCTATCAGGTGCCGTGTTGTATGGACGTGATAAAAAAAAAAGCATCTTGAGACAAAGACTTAGCACATATGGTGTTAAACTTAGACTTTTCAAGAAGTGTTTCAATCGTTGTTGTCTCCTCGAGAATATTTTAGTCTGGTCTAGAGGGAATATTTCATGATCGAAATATAATCAGCTCAACGTTTTTTTCGTGAAGTAGTTCATACTTTTTAAAATGCACTTTACTGACAAAGTCTTGGTTTATAGATAGTTATCTGGGATTGTTAAATTAGTATATAATAGAAAGTGGGTAGGAGTGGTTTATCACCTTGTAGTTATACAGGGTATTGCGAGTATACAGTACTTTACTACAAAAACAACATTAGATTTTTTGTTAACAAAATAACTGTTTTTTCAAGTTTCCGAATGTACTATTAAACACAACTGGCATTACATTATTCCTTGAAATCAGAAATTAAGTTTTGCTATAGCTTCTAATGAAGAATTTACAATGATATTTTCTAGAATATGGAATTTTTTACAAACTCACCAGTTTTTGTAGTATAAAAAATAATATTACGGCTTATTGTAGAGGCTCTGGAAATAGCAAATAAAGTCATAAGTTTGGGGCAAAATGTCCTACATGAGAACAAGATCCCTTCAGCTCGTATGAAAATCAAACATTTAACGAAAACCTTGTACTTCAGGTGGTGAAGATGTTGGTGTTTGTGGTGATCCTGTTCGCGCTGTGCTGGGGGCCCATCATGTTCAACAACGTGCTCGTGTCCTTTGACATCCTGCCCGAGCTGCACCAGGGCTTCATCAAGCCCATGAGACAAGCCTTCTGGCTAATGGCCTACAGCAACTCATGTCTCAACCCTATCGTCTACGGGTTCATGTCCAAGGTGGGTTGGTGGGGTTTTTATAAGGTGGGTTCATGTCTAAGGTGGGTTGGTGGGGTTTTTATAAGGTGGGTTCATGTCCAAGGTGGGTTGGTGGGGTTTTTATAAGGTGGGTTCATGTCTAAGGTGGGTTGGTGGGGTCTTTTTAAGGTGGGTGTAAGGGTCATGTCCAAGGTGGGTTGGTGGGGTTTTTTATAAGGTGGGTTCACGGGTTCATGTCCAAGGTGGGTTGGTGGGGTTTTTTATAAGGTGGGTTCACGGGTTCATGTCCAAGGTGGGTTGGTGGGGTTTTTTATAAGGTGGGTTCACGGGTTCATGTCCAAGGTGGGTTGGTGGGGTTTTTTATAAGGTGGGTTCACGGGTTCATGTCCAAGGTGGGTTGGTGGGGTCTTTTATAAGGTGGGTTCAAGGGTTCATGTCCAAGGTGGGTTGGTGGGGTCTTTTATAAGGTGGGTTCAAGGGTTCATGTCCAAGGTGGGTTGGTGGGGTCTTTTATAAGGTGGGTTCAAGGGTTCATGTTCAAGGTGGGTTGGTGGGGTCTTTGTAAGGTTGGTGTAAGGGTCATGTCCAAGGTGGGTTGATGGGTTCTTTTGTAAGGTGGGTGTAAGGGTCATGTCAAATATGGGTCTACGGGTTTAACCCTAAGGTGAAGTCCCCTCTCCTGAACCACGCCTTCATGTCTGGGATCGTCTTTGAGTATTTCTTCAACTTTACGGGTTCATGTCCAAGTTACGATTGTGGGTTCTTTTATAAAGTGGGTCTATGTTCAAATGCGGGCGTATAGGTTCATAGCCAACGTAGGTTTGTGGGTTCACCTCGGGTGAATTTATGGTGGGTTTACGGGTTCATATCAAGATGGGTCAATGGGTTCTTTTGTAAAGTGGGTCTATGGGTTCATGTCAAGGTGGGTCTTACGATTCATGTATAAGACGGTCTATGGGTTTCGACAAGAGGGGTCTATGGGGTCATGTCTGAAGTGGATTTATGGGTTCATGCCTAATATGGATAATTTTTTCTGAAAAACATAAGTGATAGACATGGAGATTCGCATTAAATTACAAAAAATTAATAATACTGCTGTTGTGACCGTTTCAGAACTTTCGCGAATCATTCCGGAACACGGTGCGAATCTGCGTCATGAGGGGATCAACACGTGACATGGCCAGACACAAGGCGCTGTGGAGGTGCTCGTTCCAGGCTCACACTAGTGTCCAGGTGAACAACAGGTAGGTCCTTGTTTTCTTCATTCACACCTGGCATTGTCTAGGTAAACAACAGGTAGGGTCCTTGTTTTCTTCATTCACACCTGGCATTGTCCAGGTGAACAACAGGTAGGTCCTTGTTTTCTTCATTCACACCTGGCATTGTCTAGGTAAACAACAGGTAGGGTCCTTGTTTTCTTCATTCACACCTGGCATTGTCTAGGTAAACAACAGGTAGGGTCCTTGTTTTCTTCATTCACACCTGGCATTGTCTAGGTAAACAACAGGTAGGGTCCTTGTTTTCTTCATTCACACCTGGCATTGTCTAGGTAAACAACAGGTAGGTCGTTGTTTTCTTCATTCACACCTGGCATTGTCTAGGTAAACAACAGGTAGGGTCCTTGTTTTCTTCATTCACACCTGGCATTGTCTAGGTGAACAACAGGTAGGTCGTTGTTTTCTTCATTCACACCTGGCATTGTCTAGGTAAACAACAGGTAGGGTCCTTGTTTTCTTCATTCACACCTGGCATTGTCTAGGTAAACAACAGGTAGGGTCCTTGTTTTCTTCATTCACACCTGGCATTGTCTAGGTAAACAACAGGTAGAGTCCTTGTTTTCTTCATTCACACCTGACATTGTCTAGGTAAACAACAGGTAGAGTCCTTGTTTTCTTCATTCACACCTGGCATTGTCTAGGTAAACAACAGGTAGGGTCCTTGTTTTCTTCATTCACACCTGGCATTGTCTAGGTAAACAACATGTAGGGTCCTTGTTTTCTTCATTCACACCTGGCATTGTCTAGGTGAACAACAGGTAGGGTCCTTGTTTTCTTCATTCACACCTGGCATTGTCTAGGTAAACAACAGAGTCTTTGTTTTCTTCATTCACACCTGGCATTGTCTAGGTGAACAACAGGTAGGTCCTTGTTTTCTTCATTCACACCTGGCATTGTCTAGGTAACAACAGGTAGGGTCCGTGTTTTCTTCATTCACACCTGGCATTGTCTAGGTAAACAACAGGTAGAGTCCTTGTTTTCTTCATTCACACCTGGCATTGTCTAGGTGATTTGGTTTTATCTTCATTCAATCTGAGCATAGATTTACTCAGGTGCTTAAATTATCTATTAAGAGAGCCGTCTTATCATACGGGCTTGGTGGGGCCGTTACAGCTGTTCATAAGCCATTATAGCTGTAATGAAGCTAAAATTGCAGCTGCTATGAAGTTTAACCATGAATTCTATAGCTGCAATGAAGCTAAACGTAGACCCACAGATATGAAGGTTAACCTCGTAGTCATGTGCCAACTAATAAGTCCGGTAACCCCATCTCTGAAGTCTTGTTTTTAACACTGCCTCATGTATAGTTATGCTACTATTAATTTCTTATATATTTCAAAACATATTTGGCATCATCTATGACTCAATGAAACCGGTTCGTTTGGATATTTCTCAACTGATATATCTTGCCATTAGTCCATCTGTTACATCTTGCCATTAGTTCATCTGATATATCTTACCATTAGTCCATCTGTTACATCGTGACCCCCATAACGACCCCTGTTGTCCTCTCCTCCCCAGGTCCCCACAGGCGTGTGGCCGGGCCATCACCGACCCCTACCGTCTGTGTGTGGGACCCAGACCAAGCATGAGCAGCCAGGGGTCGACCCAGGTCACCCACGTGAAGAAGATGGACAGCCACGCCATAGACGCCCCTGATTTTGATTGATGAATGCCTCTAGGAGCTGCTCAAATGTTTCCTCTATTGACCCCCGACTGGTCATTTCACTGTACACCACTCTGGTCATCGCGAAGTGACCCAAAATGACCATCGCTCAGTGACCACTGTATGTGTCATTTGCTCCGTGACCTCTTTTGGCCATTTGCTCCGTGACCTCTTTTAGCCATTTGCTCCGTGATCTCTATCTGGCCATTGTTCACTGACCCCTATCTGATTCAGGTCTGCACCACCCCACCCCCCACCTCATTATGGCCAGTATATTAAGACCCTCTTCTGGCCGTTGCTCAGTATCCCCCCATCCGGCTATTAGACACTGGTACCAGCCCTTATCTCCAGTGCTAAATGACCCCCCCTCCATTAGCCCTTATATGTCCATTCAGCTTTCCCCATACCTCCAAGTATACCACAACATTCTATCAACGCACATTATCCCATACCTAGAACTAAACCACAACAATCCAACAAGAACATTGCTCCATCCTCTTTTCCCGTTCGTGCCCCAGATGAAGTAGAGTTCATCTGTTTTAGAAACCTCGACATATGAAGGGATAGTGTGGTCAGCACTATGCCCAGCCGCCCCCCCCCCCCCCCACCACCAGGTACCTATCTGAGCTGGGTGGAAGCAAGGACATTCCACTTATCTGAACCCGGATTCAAACTCAAAGCAGTCTAGCTCTCTACCGCTAGACCACGCCGTCCCATTATCGCTCCATAGTTCATAATAAATCGCAACAATCTTTCAACAAGTATTGTTCCATACCTTAAACTAGAACACCACAAACTCTCACACTTAATAGAATCCATCTATATTACAAAAATAAAGCCAATTGTAAACCTTTCTATGACCATTTAAGTTGATGGCACATATACATTTTATTTAAACAGAAAAACGACATTTTAGTCGTATGTTTACACAGTGGTTTCTTAAAGTCACATGATCAATATTTGATTATTGATGACAAATTGATCTGATTGTTGTCGCTCTGTATGTTTAGGGTTATCTTTAATTCTGTCAAATTATTGATAAATTAATGACTATTTAATGTTTGAAAACGCACACAAATGTGAGTAGTCTCTGGGTATGTGCATGCGATGAGCGTGAGATATGCGTATAAGTGTGTGGAATGTATGTGCGATATGCGCGTGTGATGGGCGTGAGATATGTGTGTACAAGTGTGTGTGGGTGTGGGTGTGTGTGGTCGACAGATAACCAACACTTTGATGTCTGCTACCTTTGATGTCTGCTACCTTGAAGTCGTGGAAAAAAGAGGCCTTGCTTGTTGAGGAAATGGCCCAATTTACCTTGGCCCTTTGAGAGAAAAACAAAATGGTTTCATCTGTGATGTTTTATTTTAAATCCCAAGTTCTGTCGAAGTATTACTTGTTGACTCTGACAATAACGTTGGTGGTGCGTACGTTAAGAAGATGTGTAAACCATCAAAGGTTATACAGTAAGACATTATTATTTCCTTCTTGAACGTCTACATTCCATTACTGACCTAAAATTAACTTTCAGCTTTGAAATCCCTTAAAAAACAGTGTTTAGGAATAAACTACCAACTTTGGAATGATGTGGAAATAATTATAGGCCTATTCACTGCAGTCGCCGTGGCGGACTTTACTTTGACCACTACCCCAAAGTATTGTATAGGCGGACCCGGGATTCTAGCGTTTCTAAATTATGTAGACTTACAGAAGTTAGAACTAGTTGAGCCAGACACCCCCCCCCCCCTAGCCCCGGTGACCCACCATGTTACTTACCCCAGGTTGTGTGTGGGTATGATAAAGTTCCCGCCCCTTGCATAGCAGATGTTATTGTTTCATATACTGAGAACAATTTGTCTTTCGCTATTGTTTTTCCTTGTTTCTGTAATTCCTGTACATTACGGTGTATGCTGACAAGACGATATAACAGGGGCAACTGAAAACTTAACTGCATATAAAATTTGGCTGTATATTAATTATCATTAAAACAATTCGACCTCAAGATTCTTGATCTATCAACGCCCTCTTTCCAAGACCAGTGAAGATAGCTAGCCGTCCTACCTTTAAGTTTCATTTATTCGATTTTAATTAATAACTGCTTAGTGCCACAAACAACAAGCTTACCATTTTAATATATATATATATATATATATATATATATATATATATATATATATATATATATATATATATATATATATATATATATATATATATAATATATAATATACATATATATATATTATATATTATATATATTATATATATTACAAAAGTGTGTGCGCGTGCGTGCGTGTAAGTATGGTGGGTATTAGAGTGTGGTATGGAATTTAAAAAATGTCTATGCCTCCCTTGTATACTTCTATGTTGCATAAAGTGGTCTAACTCTAACAATAAGCTGTATTTATATCACAAGATGAACCTGAATGGTCAAATATAAATGGCTTGACACTTTTATTTTAGAAAGAAATAGATTGCTTAAAGTACACTTTTGTGAAAAAAGCTTTTTACTTCAGAACATTTTAAAGCTTTTCATTTCTGTTTATATCAATTTAATCATCGGTCTACATTTTATCTTGGACCCACATCAATAACTAGACTATTTAACATTATGTTATTTATAGTTTGAACAACTTTAAAATTGATTTTCAAATAATTTCTAGAAGAATTTGGTTTGTTCATAAATAACTAGACGCTTTTTGGACAATCTTTTATTCTCCCCCCTTATTCCCCCTTCAGCTCAGTTTGTTACTGGTCCTGTCAGCTCTACTGGGGAGAGTATAGGCAGCTAGGCATGTTGTTCCTTATCTTCTTCATGCTGAGGTTGTCAAAAATGACGATTTACCTGCCCCTCCTGGATGTGAAAGTGTACTTATCTTAGTCAAAAACACATTTCCAACATTGTTCAATGTATACAATTTGTTTAATTTTGCCATTTTTGACCAACTTTGTTCTAAACATTTTTAATGTACAGAAATATTTATAAAATGTTTTTGTCTAACAGTTTTATCATGTATAAGATATTTTTAAACAGAATGCACACAAAATTGTATCTTTCATTGAAATCAAAATGTATAATAACATATTAAAAAATCTTTTAAAAAAATTTCTGAATACAATTTATACACCAATTCAACTATTCAAATTTTAAAACTTTACAAAAAAAAAACAACATGTTTTATCAAAATGACCAAAGAGAAAATAAAAATAAATTGCCAAATCAGAAGAGTTTTCTTGAATATGATAAGATAATGTATGGCTTATTTACAATGATGCTGGTTTTGAATTTTTAAATATTGTTCAAATACTTTTCTCCATGATCATCAGAAATATTTGAGTGATCTTAAATCATACGAATGCATAATTTTTTTTGTAATAGAGTATCTTTGAATTACTTAATGCTTTGAATTAATTTGAAACAGCAATGTTTTTACAAGACTTAATTACAAATAACATTTTACTCATGATAAAAAATATTTTATTAATAACACAAAATATTTTAAAATGTACAGAGGATCACATTTTTAGCAGTGCCATTGAAATTTATTTTGTTTTTTTTTATCTCCAGTAGCTTTATGTAATTCTAAATTTTAAAAGCAAGATCTACTCAGTTTTGTAACTGATATTTATACCCAGTATAGTAGGTAAACAAACAAAATTCAACAAAACAGAAGAATTTTATCATTTTTTTTCAAAACGAACATGACTGATGCTAAATTATTTGATTAGTTTTAGAGATACCTAAAAGAAAAAGCAGTTTCTATAAAACGCCTCAAATGATTTACATGAAGGTAAATCTAATATTATTGATCATTGAATATTTCCAGTAAAGGTGAAAGCTATAATCACATCAGTGATAGCTAAAGTTTAGAGCATTATATCTTTTCGTTACATATAGACAGTACCATACAATAGGTAACGAGTTGCATAATTGACTGACAGCAGAGCATTCAGACTGATGAAATAATATTTTAAGTGTAAAAAAAAAGTTTTTCGAAATTTTAACTTTTCAATTAATTTTAATGATAAGAAATGAAATTCTTATCTCTCTGTTTATTTTCAACAACAAAAGAATTTTTATTTTTCCCAGCCTTTGCAGCATGAATAATAAATTCATTAGTTATTACTTTAGGCATCTAAATGTCATTAAATGCAGCAACAATAACAAAGCTATTAGTTTATACACCTTTCTTTCATCGACAATTTCTACAACGCTCTAAGGTAAATTGATCGTTCAAATTCAAATCTGTCTGAAGACTTCTCTTCCAGTCTGTTTATCTCAAAGTTTTTCTTCAAGAGTAGAAACCTTTTGACGAACTTGGGACACAGTGCGGCCGTCAATGTTTCATCTTTTTCTAACCTATCAAGGGCTTCTAGCAGGGTCTGTGGTCCTTCTTCATCAGGTGTGGAATCTGATAACTGCAAGTTATAAACAACACACAAGACTATTTGAGCATGATACTAATTTAATATACTTTTTTGGTAAAAGATTTTCAGATCCAATTAATTAAATGCTGCATTATTATTTTTTAAATATAAAAGTAGTAAAGTTCCCTTTTTGAACCTGATGGTCTATGGGCGTATGAAGTAAAGTTCACCTTTGTTTGTGACCTTGGCATAAGAAGGGATAGTGGGGTTGGCACTATACCCAGCTGCCTTTACTTTCCGTAACATGAGTTAGGTACCTATCAGAGCTGGATGGACTCAGGGACTTTCTACTTACTTGAACCCGGATTCAATGTAGAGACTTTCAGGGTTAGCAATCTAGTGCTCTACTACTTGGCCATGCCATCCCATAAATGCAATAATGGTTGATATTAAATTTATAAAATTAAGCAGTAAGAAAATAAATTTTAAAAACTTAAGGAATTTAAGGAATGAAACAAAATAGAATACTTTTTAAAATGAAATCAACATGGATAATTATAGAGATTAATAATTAAAAAAAAACAGAAAGCAAGAAAGCTCTTTACCTCTGGAGATAATTTTAACTTCTTCCTAATATCCAGAGTTCCTGCAGCTATAATGGAGGCCAGGGCTATGTAGGGGTTACTAGCCAGGGTGGGTAGGCGGTCTTCAATGTGAGGACCCGTCTGTGAATTATCTATCAGCAGTCTGGCACTGCTGGAAAAACAAAATCCTTCAGTTAGATATGTTGGGGGTCAGTAGTTGAAATAGAAGATAGCTAGAAAAACAAAATCTTCAGTTAGATATGTTGGGGGTCAGTAGTTGACATAGAAGATAGCTAGAAAAACAAAATCTTCAGTTAGATATGTTGGGGGTCAGTAGTTGACATAGAAGCAGGGGCGGAACTACAGTGCCGCCAGACCCCAAAGTGCGGGGGGGCCCGGGGCAGTTTAGGGGCCCACATCCGACCGACCTTAATTTATATATATATATGGTAGAGGTGTAGCAAGGGGGGGGGGGGGTGCAAAACGAAAGTTTGAGGGGGGGGGTGCAAATCGAAAGTTTGAGGGGGGGGTGCAAATCGAAAGTTTGAGGGGGGGGGGTGCAAATCGAAAGTTTGAGCGGGGGGTGCAAATCGAAAGTTTGAGGGGTGGGGGTGCAAGTCGAAAGTTTGTCCCCGGTCGACGGGAAGGGTCGCTACGCCTCTGACATATGGGGGCCCAAAAGAATTTTTTGCGGGGTGGCCCTATTTTTCTAGTTCCGCCACTGCATAGAAGATAGCTAGAAAAACAAAATCTTCAGTTAGATATGTTGGGGGTCAGTAGTTGACATAGAAGATAGCTAGAAAAACAAAATCTTCAGTTAGATATGATGGGGGTCAATAGTTGACATAGAAGATAGCTAGAAAAACAAAATCCTTCACTTAGATATGTTGAAGGTTGGTAGTTGGCATAGGAGATAAGCTAGAAAAACAAAATCCTTCAGTTAGATATGTTGGGGGTCAGTAGTGGGCACAGAACATCATAAGAAAATCATTTTCCTTCAGCTATATAAGATCAGAGTCAGCAGTTGGCAGAGGAGGTAAGTCTCAGGTAAGCTAGGATATAAACAGCAGTCTCAGATGACTGTTTTCTTATTAAAAATGTTGCTACTTGATGAGATATTTGAAAAGTGTGGTACTTAAAAAAGTAATATTGAACATAATGTTTTTGCTTATCCTAACAAGCCAAGGGTAAAGAATTTCCACGCATTTCCAAACCTCCCAGACCTTCACAGAACAGTTTCATTACACATTACTTACGGACTTCAAAACAGAAGTCTACAACTAGTAAAGTGAAGTAGTTACCTTTCTAACCTGACGATCTATAGGGCAAGTGAAGTAGAGTTTACTTGTTTCTGTGTCCTCAGCATATGAAGAGATAGTGTGGTCAGCACTATACCCAGCCGCCTTTACTTTCCCTAACGTGAGTTAGGTACCCATCTGAGTTGGGTGGACTCTGGGACGGTCTACAAAATTATTTATACTGTGGTCCAGTGTGGTTAAAAAAAATGCTGCAGTTGAAAATTAAATTGTGTAAGCACTATGACATTAGACCTTAAAATATGTTTGCAGAGGCTCATTATGGTGTTAAGCAGAGAAAAAATGAAAATTCTCAAGTGGCCAAAGATTCATCTGACCATGGAGTTAATTGAACCCGGATTCGAACTCGATACTTTCACAGTCCAGTTCTCTACCGCTAGACCACTCCGTCCTGTGGGAGGGGGTCACTCACCTGTGGGTGAGGTCACTCACCTGTGGGTGGGGTCATTTGTCCAGGAAACGGTGATGTCCGGACTCTCCTGGGAGTAACAGTTTAAAGTGGGTCGCACCAGGGCCGTCATGGCCTGCTGGTGGGCCAACAGGCCCGCAGCGAACCCCTGGCCAACTTCTGATAAAGTCATTTGGTCGTCTGCTGCATCGAACACGTTTCTGCAACAGTGAGTAGAGTTTAGGTGGCGCTGACAGAGACAGGGGAAGTGACTCGTGTGATGGAAGTAGAGATAAACAGGGGAAATGACTCTTGTGATGGAAGAGACAAACAGGGAAAGTGACTCGTGTGATGGAAGTAGAGAAACAAGGGAATGGCTCTTGTGATGGAAGTAGAGATAAACAGGGGAAGTGACTCGTGTGATGGAAGTAGAGACAAACAGGGGAAGTGACTCGTGTGATAAAAGAGAGAAACAGGGGAAGTGACTCTTGTGATGGAAGTAGAGACAAATAGGGGAAATGACTCTTGTGATAAAAGAGAGAAACAGGGGAAGTGACTCTTGTGATGGAAGTAGAGATAAACAGGGGAAGTGAATCGTGTGATGGAAGTAAAGATAAATAGGGGAAGTGACTCTTGTGATTGAAGTAGAGATAAACAGGGGAAGTGACTCTTGTAAAGGAAGTAGAGACAAACAAGGGAAGTGACTCTTGTAATGGAAGAGACAAACAGGGGAAGTGACTCGTGTGATGGAAGTAGAGATAAACAGGGGAAGTGACTCTTGTGATGGAAGTAGAGGCAAACAAGGGAAGTGACTGATGGAAGTAGAGATAAACAGGGGAAGTGACTCGTGTGATGGAAGAGAGAAACAGGGGAAGTGACTCTTATAATGGAAGTAGAGACAAATAGGGGAAGTGACTCGTGTGATGGAAGTAGAGATAAACAGGGGAAGTGAATCTTGTGATGGAAGAGAGAAACAGCGGAAGTGACTCTTATGATGGAAGTAGAGACAAACAGGGGAAGTGACTCGTGTGATGAAAGTAGAGATAAACAGGGGAAGTGACTCGTGTGATGAAAGAGAGAAACAGGGGAAGTGACTCTTGTGATGGAAGTAGAGATAAACAGGGGAAGTGACTCTTGTGATGGAAGTAGAGACAAACAGGGGAAGTGACTCTTGTGATGGAAGAGAAACAGGGGAAGTGACTCTTGTGCTGGAAGTAGAGATAAACAGGGGAAGTGACTCTTGTGCTGGAAGTAGAGATAAACAGGGGAAGTGACTCTTGTGATATACGGAGCACTATTTTCAAACACATGCTACGGCGGCCATCTACTAAGGCTAAAATCTGAATAATGATACTTAAGATTACTCAGCCTATCTTACTCTAATATATAAAGCTCTACGTCAGTGGTTCCCAACCTTTTTCGAGTGGCGACCCCCTTTTATAAAAAATAAGTGACCCGCGACCCCCATAGAATTAAAAAGCCGAAATTAGTATGGAAATTAATAAGCACTAAAATAAGATTTTCTAGTAGACTTTCAATATGAACTACTCTTGATAAATGTTTTAATAGCATGAGTAAAATTGCATACTATTCACTAAACTTTCGTGGTTAAGTTTTTGATTTTTTTTAAAATTGTTAACGCCAACCTATGTCATTATAATTATCTTAATTTTGTTTTTAATCGAAGAATAGTGTTGAAAATATATTCTCGAAAATTCAATCAATTTACGTTTGGGTATGAATGGTGAATACTACACCGAAACTGTATCTGCAGTTTTTCATCTTACTCGGAATCATTCTGCAAATCAAAGAATTCATCTTGTAATTCATCGGGAATGCTGAAAACATCAAGGGAAGAAGAGAATGGATAATGCGTAAATGCAGATTCTTCTTTTTTTTCAGCTCAGAGAAATAGCGATGCAGTTAGTTTTCAACATATTCAAGATGCCCTGAAATCGCTTCTTTCAAAATTTTAATTATCTCACAATCAGATTCATCTACCACACCACAGAGTTTCTCAAATTTACAATATTTCCAAGATTTATTTTCTTTACCGATTTTGCAGCTTTGATAAAAATGCCCCGAGATTATCATGGAAAGTTATAATATTCGTTCATTTTCCCTGAAGCTTCAGGTTAAGCTTATCTTGATGTTCGAACACATCTGCTAGGTATGATACTCTCTCCAACCACTCTATGTCGTATTAAGTATACCAAAAAGTCTTGTTTCCTTTGCACTTCCAAGAACAATTTGATTTCAGATTTCAATTCAAAAACACAATTTACAACATTTCGTTTGGCAGCCAGCGTACTGTAGTGTAGAAGAGCAGAACCTCGTAATCTATATTAATGTTTTTGCTCAGTTCTTTGAAGGCTCCAGATTTTATATAATTTACGACTTATACTAGCAATGGATTCTTGATGTCGATTGGTTAGGGCAGTGGTTAGGGAGCTAAATCTTTTCTGTTTTCTGAAAGCCCGATTTTGAGCTAAACATAGATGGCGCACCATCCGTACAAACCCCCACAGCCGTTCTAACCCATTTTAATCATCCAGTTTCAAAAAAAAAGTATTTATTTTCTCCATGCTATTTTCATAAAAGAGCAACTCTTCTTTGCTATCATCCGCATGAATATAGACACAGACCAGCAACTGCGAACACGAACTCACGTCTGTTGATTTATCAACTTGAAAAGCAAACAATGGTGAAAGCTTAATTTCAATAAAAATGTGTTATTTAACATTTACGTACATGCAGCGTTTGATGAGATTTTCTCCTATTGTTTTTTTTTTTTTTTTTTTTTTTGCTTGGCATTTTCTATCGCGACTTCATTTGATGCTTGCACTAATGCTGGTGAAAACTTCCTGTTCGATCAAGTCTCTGGCGTTTGCAACTAGCTTCTTACCGACGAAAGAACTCCATATATTTTTTCCCACGTTTTCTTTAACTTGCTTTCTCTGTGTGTTTGTCTTTCCAATCCAATCTTGCGATCGAAATTTCTGGCACTTCCCAGTTAGCTAGCGCGCTGAAATTTTCAGGGAAGCTTTGTTTTGGATGACAATTAAATATTCTATTGTTTTTATTACTAAATTAATCCATGGAAACATTTTATTGATCATTTTAGACCGCTATATAATTGTACCAAAAAACGTGGGGGAAAAGGGACATTACCCAGTAACTGTAATTTGATGAAAACAAGGTTCGGCACTCCCCCTCTTTTTGCTTACTGAGTAGTTGTCACGCGGTGTTTGTGTACAAACAACCATAACCTAACAACTGGTGGCCAGTATGGGGGAGACTATATGGTCGAGTGGTTGGGCACACGATTGCTATCCCACTCGACACGGGTTCAAATCTATGTGTTCTAGTCAGTAACGTATTCACACAACGTGTTTTTTACGAGTTGTCTTTTTACGAGTTGTCTTTTTACGAGTTGTCTTTTTACGAGTTGTCTTCGTTTACCCAAAAAAAGTGAAAAGATAAAATCGATAGCAAGATTTTAATGCAAACAAACAGACAAAGACTAAAAAGTAGAAAATAATAATCATTAAAAAAAGTTTAAAAAAACCCACGTTTTCTGATTGAACTAAAAAGTAGAAAATAAATACTATACATCACAATAATGCAAGCGATCACTCTACTATAAGCGATCAAAAACGTGGGGCGCCGTGATTTTCTTAGTTTCTAATACTGTTGACTCTCTATAAGCTCCCTAATAAAGTCAATAGTATTATCTAATCAATAGTAATATAACTTTTACTTCGGCGCCCCACGTTTTTGATAGCTTATAGTAGAGTGATCGCTTGCATTATTGTGATGTATAGTATTTATTTTCTACTTTTTAGTTCAATCAGAAAACGTGGGTTTTTTAAAACTTTTTTAATGATTATTATTATGTGTTCCGAATGACTCGTCTCAAATGACGTTTTAGTTTTGAAGATTTCATAGATTCGTGACTGAGAACAACTTTGTACAGTGCGCTTTGTTTCTTCTCTATTACATTTCCAGTGATGTTAATGAAGCCGAATTTTTTAAAAAATCTTCTAAATATTTATGCTTTTTTCAAATTACTAAGGTTTAGTATACCAGTTGGCGACCCCCCAGGTTGGGAACCCGTGCTCTACGTATTTCATACTTTTATCAGCCCAGCAAAATGGAACATAAATGGGTCTACAAATTAAAGTATTGTAAAAGCTATTAGTTTTCTATTTAAACTAGAGTAAAATGTTAATTTTAATATATATTAATTTAAAAAATCAAACAAATTTTTTTATAAAGTTATTAAAATTTATGTGAAAAATAGAATGAACAATTATAATTTTATCAATTCTAAATTTACTTGTATTTTAAATGATTTTCTGATAAATATGTTGTGGGTTGTTTCCCTTGGCAAAATAAAACTACTTGAAGAAGTTGACTTCAAAATACTTGCCAGACTACCCGTTTCACGTGAATTATAGGCCTTTATATTTTTTATGTTATACTTGTTTGATAAAAATAATAGATAAAATAGTTATTGGTCAAAACGCAATGTACTTTACTTACTTTGAATTGAACGATATTAGTGACATACCTAAAAGGCTAAAAATCCGACACATTTAAAATAACAGTCTACCAACATTTATTAGAAAAATTTAAAACCAAATTATATACATTATTAGTCAACACAACACCATTTTAAATTCACACACTGTTCTTAGACTTAAATGATTCCGGGGGGGATGCTAAAAGTTTGTCCCCGGGCGCCAGGAAGGGTTGCTACGCCTCTGGTCTAAGCCTATAGAACTAACACATTACCTGCCATTAGCGTCCAACAAAGTGAATCTGTAGCTGACAATGTTTGGGCTGATGGAGGCCAGCGGTCTAGTCATGAATGTGACGTCATATCCGGCGTTAACACACAGGGATTTCAGCATGCTGCGCAGGCGGTGGAGGCAGTCGGCCACCTCCAGGTTGGTCTGGGGTTCTAATCCTATCTGGAAATATTTCATTTAGAGCATTTGACATATTCTTTTTTTTTTTTGGTGTGTGTTTGTTAGTTGACTTCTTATTTTATCTCATGTTTAGATAGTTGTAAGAACGCAGAAGAAGAAAAAAAAATAATTGACATACCAGTAGCTTTCCTGGCTCCAAACCTTTCCCAATGGAAATGACTGGGATACCACTTGATAAAAGGGAGGTCATGAGTGTGTTCGTCAACGTAGTGATGTCCTCCTGGCGTAAAAGGAGACAAAAATAAGTGATCAAATATCCTAGAACAGATAGAACAAGACAATACAGTGTGTTAAAGATTATAATGCAAATTTATCCAGCTGCTGAAGTACAATACGCAGAACATGAATGTAAACATTTGATTAGCGACCCGTCAGTTACGTTTATAGCATTTCATAAAGACCTTTAAATCAAAATTTTCAGTTTTGTTTTAGAATTCGATTCAGCGAAGTCTGAAGCCCGTCCTGAGGCTGAGAAATACAGGACACTATGACGTAAACAGCTTCACCTTACGGAGAAGTTTGGACAATTGTTCTTACTCCCACAAAATACCCCCCCCCCCCTGTTTTATCTTAATATCCGCCCTCCCACACACACACACACACACGCCACAGCCTAATGCACAGTTAAAAAGCTGTAACTTCGTTACTTAACTTGCCAATCTTAACTAATTAACCTGACATTCGTAATTACATCTCCACTGAGCACAGTGCCATTAAAAAAATAGCATATGATTATTCTGGTATTGATTATTCCTTCCCTCCCACCCCCTCCATCTTCTTAAAGGTAAACCTTTCATAATTAATAAGCTGTGTCGTCTTTTTCTCAATTCCACACACTTGCACTTAAACTCTCGCGCGCACCACCCTGACGCCCACCGATCGCCCCACCCTGCAGTTTTTTTTTTTTATACCTGCGCGTAGCAGAACTGGATTCAGCGAGTTCTTGTGGAACACCATGACCGCCCCACCCCACAGCTCCCTGTCGCCCCACCCCACCCCACACCGCTCTGCCGCCCCACCCTACAATTGTTGATACTTGCATGTAGCAGAACTGGATTCAGCGAGTTCTTGTGGAACACCATGACCTCCAGCTGTGCCGACACGCTGATGACGTAACCGAGGTCATTCAGGCCCTGGACCTGCCTGTTGGCCACCTCCCGACTCATAGACACCTCGCGCTCACCCTGGGAGCTCAGGAAGTCACAGAGCACGTGACCTACCTGAAACGTCACAGAATACTCACTAACTGGTACCGAGGTGGATACCTTAAAAGTAAAAGTTACCCATTCAAAACTGGCTGTCTATATGGCAGATGAAGTAGAGTTCACCTATTTCTCTGACCTCGGCATATGAAGGGATAGTGTGGTCAGCACTATGCCCAGCCGCCTCGTTTTCCTTTACGTGGTTCAGGTACCACTCAGAGCTGAGATGTCATACAGACTCAGTTTACTTTATTGTGAGTCAGGTATCCATAACACCTGTGTGCAGTGTTTTTTCCAGGCATCTGTTCAGGGGGGGGGGGGGGGGCGGGGGGAAAATCTATAAAACATATACTTTAACCATTGTCGCCCCCCCCCCCCCACCGAATATGTGTTCAAACCCCCCCCCCCCCCCCCCGAAAATATCAAGTACCCCCCTCTCCCCTTGGAGAAAAAAGTGCGGAAGAAACACTGCCTACAGACTCGAACCCTAGCCCCTCACTTGGTGCTGACCTTCTTGTCGCCGTAGGACAGCCACGACAACGGTCGCACGGTGGTCGAGTCAGGGACCAGAGTGCCGTTGGTCCAACCCTGGTCTCCGTACTCCGTCAGGCACAGGGGGATGTCACACAGTACACCGGAAAACAGGGAGGCTGGAGAAAACGAAAGTAGGCAGGTGACGGAAGTGTAATGACATAAAAGTGTCACGTGACTAACATGTCACGTCATTAAAGTGCCATGTGACGAGGACGTCACGTGACGAGCATATCATGCGACGAAGGTGTCTTGTAACGAAAATGTTATGTGACAAACGTGTTATACGGTAACAGTGTCATGTAACAATATTGTCTTAGGACGGACATATTTTTGGATCGAACCCTAAAAAACGAAAGTTTATTGACTGTCTTCAAAGACGAATGACGTATAGCTAAAACAAAACAATACCTCCTTCCTTCCGATACAAACTTAAGTCATCGAACAAGAGTCGACTATTGTGACATCATGTAGCTAGATGGAAGTGTGACCATACGTGTGTGGGGGGGGGGGGGGCGTGACAAATGTGACGTAGAACACATGCACATTTTTAAAACGTTTGCTGGAAGTGTGTTTTCAGGTCAGCCTTTTTGTTTGGGGTTTTTCGATTTTAATTAATCTACGATGATTAACCAAACTGAACGTTGTATAAGAAACGCTAAATGGTTTTAACAAGCCATTCTCTAAACTCTCCACTCCTCTAAGATTGTAGTATATCTACCCTCCCGTTACATTCAGCATATGTTAAAGGAAACAAACACACACTATCTGCCCCATCACACACACCCACACACACACACACAATTGCTGTAAAAACAGACACACCCACGCACGCTTTCCCTTCACACATGCGCACGCACAGATAAAGCAGATTCGAGAACAATCTATATGCAGATGAAAGCTGTAGCAAGCCGTGTGTCAAGCTACGGCGCAAGGACCTGTATATGTCTCTCATCAAATCGATCACAGGTTCTCAAACACTTGTAGTCTGTCACATTCATGGGAGAAAATTGTCACATTCATGGGAGAAAATTGTCACATTCATGGGAGAAAATGGTCGCTTTCAAGGGAGAAAATTGTCACATTCAAGGGAGAAAATTGTCACATTCAAGGGAGAAAATTGTCACATTCAAGGGAGAAAATTGTCACATTCAAGGGAGAAAATTGTCACATTCAAGGGAGAAAATTGTCACATTCAAGGGAGAAAATTGTCACATTCAAGGGAGAAAATTGTCACATTCAAGGGAGAAAATTGTCACATTCAAGGGAGAAAATTGTCACATTCAAGGGAGAAAATTGTCACATTCAAGGGAGAAAATTGTCACATTCAAGGGAGAAAATTGTCACATTCAAGGGAGAAAATTGTCACATTCATGAGACCAGTCTGTCACATCCATGACAAATTTGGAGGGGAGATTGACCGCCCCCCCCCCCCCCCCTCCCGAAAAATTCAAGTGCCCCCCTCCCCCGAAGAAAAAAGTCTGGAAGAAACACTGCCCCACTCCTCCCCACTCCCCGCCCCAAAGAGATGCCTGAAATAAACTCAGCAGAATAAAATCGAAACAAAATAAGTGAGAACCGTTATGGCAGGCTCTGAACTAAACAGACAGCTCCGCCATTTGCATTTGCTTTAGATCGCTTAAAAAACAACTGCTGAATAATTGGGTTTTGGACGCAAGTAGATGCTTAAGTTATCTGATACATTACTTCCTGCTACTTCTCGCTTTTCTCTTGGTTAAAATATCTCCTAGTTAAAATATCTCTTGGTTAAAATATAGACACTTTCCAATAGCGTCCAATTGAATAACAGATTTAATTAGCCGATTAATATTGCAACTAATGTCACTAATAAGATTAGTGTTAAAAACTAATATTCGAAGGCGTTTTTTTTTTTTTTAAAAGCCATCACATTTTTACAAAAGCCATCACAAGAAGGGATCTTACCCAATTCACAAAGAATGATATGATATCTATCGAGGGCTGTTACGAAAAAAAGTTTCAGGGCCTCATTTTTTGGTGATATAGATAAGAAGCATTATTGTTATTCATTTAATGAACTCTGTGATTCTTTACCACTAGGGTTGTGGTCGACCCATGGTACAACCTTGACCTACTCACTCGGGTTTGACCGATGTCGGAATTAAAGTACACAAGTACGTAGAACCATGGTTACCAAGCGAAAAGGTAGCAATACTACGATGTATGTGCACAGCGAGGAGTGTTTCTTTCAGGCATCTCTTCGAGCCACCCTCCCCCCTAAAAAAAGTCTACTGCCCCCCCTCCCACCCCACCCCCTCCCCGAACGAAATAGAAACTTATATAGAAAAATATTGAGTGCCCCCCCCCCCCCCCCCCCCCCGAGAAAAAAGTCTGTTTGTTGCGTTTATGTGAATGTCTAGATCTAGATTGTTTTAGTCGCACGGGTATTTTAAATAAGACCGGGGGAATGATTGTACAGTAATTGTACTGTGTCTAGATGTACTGTCTTACAGTATCCATTACTTCACGATCGTTCGTTTGTGTGTGTGTGTGTGTGTGTGTATGTGTGTATGTGTGTGTGTGTGTGTGTGTGTGTATGTTTTTGCTGATGGGTAGTTTGGTGTGTCTGGACATCTGTCCTGTGTTATATTGTGTAGTGCAGGCTGAGGATTAGACATTCATTAGGCACAATGTGACTCCATTAGGCACAATGTGACTCCATTAGGCACAATGTGACTCCATTAAGCACAATGTGACTCCATTAGGCACAATGTGACTCCATTAGGCACAATGTGACTCCATTAGGCACAATGTGACTCCATTAGGCACAATGTGACTCCATTAGGCACAATGTGACTCCATTAGGCACAATGTGACTCCATTAGGCACAGTAAAATCTCTACAAGTTGTTTTAAAGAAAGATTGTTTTTTTTTCACGTTCAGTAAGTTTAGTAGCGTTTAAGGTTGAATGTATCATTAGGTACAAGGTCGCACCATCAGGGAGAAATGTATGACTAGGCTTCCTAGTCGTCGATGTGGGGGGGGGGGGGGGGGGGTAAACTCTGAGAAACTGAACCCCATGACACCTGACATAGTGACGCCATTGGTTAAATGTGCCTTATTTTTATTTATAGTTTCCAGCATGTTGTATTTCTTACGGTGTATTGTTTAATACGCCTATGTCACGTTCAGAGTTTCTTCCAGGCATCTCTTCGGGGGGGCGAAGCCCCCCCGAAAAATTTTTACCGCCCCCCCGAACGAAATGAAATTTATATCATTTATATAGAAAATATATACTGTTAACAGTGTCCGCCCCCCCCGAAGAAAGTTTACCGCCCCCCCGAAGATTTCAAGTGCCCCCCCCCGGAGAAAAAAGTCTGGAAGAAACACTGGTCACGTTAACTATGAACCAGCTAGTTCACATACAAATATTCATTACGTATCACAGACTACGTTTTTCATATTTTTATTTTTTATTAAATTCATATTTTTTTAAAATAGTTTTTTTAACCCCTCGTTCTTTTATTTATTATTTTTTTATTGGTGACACCAACGTTTTTTGGCTAATAGAATTCGATCATTAACCCCAACAATATTGTTGATAGCATTGTATTGTCATTTAGTGAGTGATTAATTCGAGACATTTACATTTTGTCAAACAATTTAATATTTTATTTAGTATATCTGCTGCTAAAGATAGGGCTAGACACTGAATAAAACTAATGTGGGATAGAGCTAGAGTCCTCTGCACTATTTTAGTACACAGATCAGCCGGGTTCAATAAAACCATAGCGTCTTCTGATGGGAAGCAACTCTTAATCACACGACGAAACCAAAGTTCAATAATCAACCAGTTTAGACTTAAATTAAAGGAAAGTAACATTTTAAAGTCTAAATTGTTTGAATATAGAATCTAGTTTTGTATAGTGGTTAAAAGCACCTGGTTATTTAATAATCCTGCAGTGTAATTGAAAAAAATATATCCACTTAATAATTCATTGAGTTACATTGTCTGCTATTACCATTAGTCCGTTTTACTATGTAGGGCCTATATATAATTAAATTTAAATATATAATAAGTATCTCTAACTTTAGTCTGTTCTAGTAAATTTAATATATTTGCCCCCCGCCCCCTCACCCACCACGTCGAGGGAAAAAAATCCATTGAATCATCATTTAATTACACATTTGCATTTTCATGTTTTTTATATATTTTTTATTTTTTTTTATTTTAGACGTTTTGTATTAGATCTATGTATAAGTAAACCATCTTAAATGAATGAAAGTAGGCTACAAGTAAGAAAGAAATATTACTATTGTAAATCTGTATCAGTCCTCACAAGCCGATGATGAAAACTGTAATACTAAAGCGAACACACAACTGACGCTGTAAATTACATGTCTGAGGCAAAAATAAAAAAAGAGGAAAAAAGAAAAAGAGGAAAATAAAAATAAAAAATTGAAGCTGTGTAAAACCATCAAATAAATTATGATTACTATTTTAAATGTTTTAAAACAAATATTTTTTTTTTTAAACTGTGGGGGGACTGCCATAGATATAGATGTTTGAAAGGGATGTTTGTTAATGGTATGTCTAATTGTGATCAACATAACTTTTCCGGTTGCTAAAAATTTGTATAATTTTAATTCTCTGTGATCTAAAACTTATTTCAGCTCTACTTAAAAGCCCAAGCCCCACTTAGCCCACCCTTGAATCATCATTTAATTACCAATTTGCATTTTCTGTTTCAGTTTTTTTTAAATAAAATTATAATTAGACGTTATGTATTGGATCTATGTATAATTAAACCACCTTAAACGAATAAAAGTAGGCTACAAGTAAGAAAGAAGTATTACTATTGTAAATTTGTATCAGTCCTCACAAGCCAATGATGAAAACTAATACTAAAGCGAACATGCAAGGCAAACTGACGCTGTAAATTACATGTCTGAGGCGAGAAAAAAAATGTAAGTAAATTTAACGTCTTATTCACGAGTATTACAATCTGTAATGCTTTTACGCCATTTACTTACACATTGGCATATAAACTTCTAATTAGACGTTTTGTATAATGTATAAGTAAACCATTTTAAATGAATGAAAGTACATGTCAGAAATAAGAATTACTATTGTAAATGTGTATCCGTCCTCACAAGCATACGAACACATCAACACACAAACATAACAACATATACACACAATAACCAAGAACCTACATACGCAGTAAAAACAACAACACACGAGCACACACAAATACACACGGACATCCTTACATATTAATTAACACACAAACAACAATTTTACACACGAACCAATTAACATACACATTTAAAAAACCACAAATACACATTGACACACTTACATATTAATTAACACACAAGCAACAATTTTAAACACGGAACAATCAATATACATTCACGTTAAAAAACGAGCACATGCCAATACAACACACTCAGTGGCGTAGGCAGGGGGGGGGTTAGGGGGGTCATAACCCCCCCCCCTCCTCCATAGACCCCTCGGTATATATATAAAGTATGACGGGGGGATGCAAATCAAAAGTCTGAGGGGGGGGGGGGGTGCAAATCGAAAGCTTGAAGGGGGGTGCAAATCAAAAGCTTGTCCCCGGGTAAAAATTGGAACCCCCCCCTTGAGACGATCCTGGCTACGCCACTGAACACACTTGCCTACCAACAAACACACGAACACACCGACCTTGTGCCATGCCCAGTCCGTTCTTCATGATCCCATGCACGCTCTTCCTGAAGACGAACCGACCCCGACTGACCCCGTGGATGTCGCTTGCTGTCACCAGCAGAAGATCGAACTCGTCCACGTCGTAGTGAGCCTTGTGTGTGTGCTGGCTGCCCATCTTGTCAGGCAGGTCAACGGTCTGGGTCTAGACATCAAACACGACGGTGTAAGTCTAGACATCAAACACGACGGTGTAAGTCTAGACATCAAACACGACGGTGTAAGTCTAGACATCAAACACGACGGTGTAAGTCTAGACATCAAACACGACGGTGTAAGTCTAGACATCAAACACGACGGTGTAAGTCTAGACATCAAACACGACGGTGTAAGTCTAGACATCAAACACGACGGTGTAAGTCTAGACATCAAACACGAAGGTGTAAGTCTAGACATCAAACACGACGGTGTAAGTCTAGACATCAAACACGAAGGTGTAAGTCTAGACATCAAACACGACGGTGTAAGTCTAGACATCAAACACGACGGTGTAAGTCTAGACATCAAACACGACGGTGTAAGTCTAGACATCAAACACGACGGTGTGAGTCTAGACATCAAACACGACGGTGTAAGTCTAGACATCAAACACGACGGTGTGAGTCTAGACATCAAACACGACGGTGTAAGTCTAGACATCAAACACGAAGGTGTAAGTCTAGACATCAAACACGACGGTGTGAGTCTAGACATCAAACACGACGGTGTAAGTCTAGACATCAAACACGACGGTGTGAGTCTAGACATCAAACACGACGGTGTAAGTCTAGACATCAAACACGACGGTGTGAGTCTAGACATCAAACACGACGGTGTAGGTCTAGACATCAAACACGACGGTGTAAGTCTAGACATCAAACACGACGGTGTAGGTCTAGACATCAAACACGACGGTGTGAGGTGAAAAGGTAGAGGACATTCATGGTAGAGGGACGACGAGGTTGAATGGTACAGAGTTTGACTGCAAACTCAAAGGTCTCGAGTTCGGATCCAGTGCTAGAGTCCGTAGTATATGTCCCTGAGTCCACCCAGCTCTGATGGGTACTTGGCTCAAGTTTGGGGAAGTAAAGACGGCAGGACATAGAGCTGACCACACCTTGCCTTCAGATGTCGAGGTCACAGAAACAGTTGAACTCTACTTCACCAGCCCCATCGGCTGTAAGGTTCAAAGGTACTTTTTTTTTTACTTTTAGTTACATATACATTTCTGACAGAGAGAAAGAGTGGGGTGGGGCACGATATCAAATAAACAGAAGTGCATTGATTAACACCTCCCTCAGAGGTTTTTTTTTAAATGGCTGTCCCAGCACTAACTGTTCGCTTGGCCTTAACTCTCATCTTAACCCTGGCTTAACTCTAAGCCAGATCTACCTAAATCCAGCCTTAAAACCCTAACAATTATCCTGTCAATTTTAACCCTGACATTACATAAATACGGCTATATATATATATATATATATATATATATATATATATATATATATATATATATATATATATATATATATATATATATATATATATATATATATGCAAATTTATATATGCTTGTGCTGGGTGTGTTAAAACTGTGAACCAAACATTGAAACAACCCCTTATGTAAGTTGTAGAGATTGCAGTCTGGTACACCCGTCTGACATCAGAGTGGTGTTATCGTTTTAAACGACCCCGCGAGGGCTAGTGTTGAAGCCAGTTACTTGACATGTACGTTGTGTGTTACGTTCTGTAGTTGTGTTAATTTGTGTAGTTGTGTGTTACGTTGTGTGTTACGTTGTGTTATGGTGTATGTTACGTTATGTGTTACGTTGTGTGTTTGTGTGTTACGTTGTGTTACGTTGTGTAGTTGTGTGTTACGTTGTGTTATGGTGTATGTTACGTTATGTGTTACGTTATGTGTTACGTTGTGTGTTTGTGTGTTACGTTGTGTTATGGTGTATGTTACGTTGTGTATTACATTGTGTGTTACATTATTTGTTACGTTGTGTGATTGTGTGTTACGTCTGTGTTACGTTGTGTGTTACGTTGCATGTTACGTTGTGTGTTGCGTTGTGTGTTACGTGTGCCCGGGGCTACGATCAAGCTGGGTTGTCGTGTTTTAACACCAGGAAGCTCACACAACTGTGTTCCACATAATCGATCACATCTATCAAAAGCACACACACACACGTGTTAAATATTTATTATTTCTAGCCTGACCTTTCAACTTTGACACAGATGTGCCTGTAGTGAACGGAAATTACAGCTATCATAAAATCAATACATACACATATACTGTATATGTATTGATCAGCTTCGGCTAGGTCTAAACACGTAACTCCCTGGAAGAACAATTTCAACAACACCAAATACAAGTAGCATTATATAGACTCCGTTAATATATTTGTTATTAAAAAATACGTATTTACTTACCCTACTGTAAGCTACTGTAACCTTGACTCAGCTGTTACAGAATCGAAACAAGCATGCTTGCACTGAAATACATCTAAACCGCAACTTATCGGATACTAAACAGCTAAACTAGACCAATAAATGAAGAGAGAGGGGGGAGGTGTCGGCGGAAACAACCTTATTACAGTCTCACGTAGGGATTTTCTCCCTCGTACAATCCGGGCGAGAAAAACGAAGAGGGGGGCAGCAACCCTACAAGGTTCAGCCGGTCACGTGGGTGTCTGTGTTGTCATTTTTCCCCCGCAAGTTTGTGTTGATCGCTCAGCTGACTAGTACACACAGGGAAACTGTGTACGTGTGGATACTTGGATTGACTTGGGGGGTGTGTACGCCGGCTTACATGGATACTAGGATAGATTATAAGTGTAGGGGCTAGATACGTAATGTCGGGCTAAACAGCACGCGTCATATGTTCATGCGTGATATGAATATAAATAGGCCTATAAACTCAATACAACTGGAGCGTTGTGATCTAACTTTCGTAACATCTGGATTCAACTTTCTGCACTAACTACTAACTGTAAGTTGCGTTTTTTAATTGCCGTTGTTACTTGATTGTGTTTTGTATTTTACAAGCGTTATTAACCCTAAACTTACACAGTTTATACTATAGGCCAGGGGTCTCCAAACTACGGCCCGCGGGCCGGATGCGGCCCGCGAGGTCCTCTAATCCGGCCCGCGGAGATCTTTTTGTCCACGGAAAAAACGTTTGTTGGTGAAGGCTGAGGAACTTTGCCCAGAAAAATCAAAAACATGCCTGGAAGAAACTGGCCCCCGAACTGAAATTTTATAGTTAATGCGGCCCTCGGACTGAAAAGTTTGGAGACCCCTGCTATAGGCTTTATTAAGGAATCTTCATATTCATAAGTTGAGAAGGCAGCTATAGTTAACTATAGTAGTAATAAAAAATGTAAACAATTACTTAAGATCTGAGTTGTGAAATATAGACATCTATCAATTTCAGGACAGCGCAAGTAAAGCTTAAGTTATTTTTAGGTCTTTTATGCGCCTAACAGATTACCAGCAACCTGTCACCAACTCATGCCGAGTACATTTTATCGCTAGTTAAATTATCGATAAAGCTGGATGTTAAACACCACTCTAAAAAAAAAGGCGATTTAAAATAATGGATCGAGACAGTAGCTTAATAACGCAGTCTGCACCAGGTGGCACCATGTAGGGGATGCCACCAAATTTAAAAATTGAAACATTTACTGTCAAAACCACGTTCCACCTGGTTCTATTATTATAGTAGGGGGAAAGTGATGACGCTAAACCGAAAATGTATTTTTTTAGGGGGGGGGGGGGGTGCGGTGACACCCTCCGGGTAAAGTGACGCCACAGGATGTACATACTATATAGGGTGTGGTGGGGGGGGGGTTGACTAACGCATCTATTACGCCCCGACTAAACCCACCCGCGTCGCTTACTATCGTAATATACATTCATGTAAAATGCATCAATTCTAACAGTATCTTCTTTGTATACAAGTTCACCATATCTATCAGTGTAATCTATATTAAACCCCATTACATTTACATTACCATTCTATATATAAAAGCCCATCAAACCTCCCAATTGTTGCAGCTCTATAAACCCCATTTCCACCTAATAAATGGGATCCTTATGTGCATTCCGAAAAAAGCCCAATAAAACATCACAAGAAGCCCATTAATACTCACCGTTATCTCCATAAAAAGCCCATTAAACGCCCGCCCAATCTACCTGTAGCTCCGTGCCCACATTGGGATAAAATCCCGCTATGAATTACACTCTCCCTAATCCCCCCCCCTCCCCCACCCCGAGGTTTATTAGCACACATCTCTAGTCTTGCCGTGGCCGTCTGACAAGGAATCAATAGACAGACAACGGGTGGATGGCATGGGGAAAAATCATTACATCCGGAGATGTTCCACTTTTTATCTCTCTGTGTAAGACTTGTCATCTTACCAGCTCGTATTTTTTTCTGTTTGCTTGAGACTTGTCATTTTAAGAGCACATATTTTTCTGTGTGAGACTTGTCATTTTAAGAGCTCATATTTTTATGTCTGTCTAAGACTTGTCATTTTACGGGCTCGTATTTTTTCCGTCTAAGACTTGTTATTTTAAGAGCACATATTTTTCTGTCTGAGACTTGTCATTTTAAGAGCTCATATTTTTCTGTGTGAGACTTGTCATTTTAAGAGCTCACATTTTTCTGTGTTAGACTTGTCATTTTAAGAGCACATATTTTTCTGTGTGAGACTTGTCAATTTAACAGCACATAATTTTCTATTAATCTGAGCTCATTATTTTCCTGCTTTAAACTTGGCATTTTAAGAGCTTATTTTTTTGACCGTCTGTCTACGACTTGTCATCTTAAGTGTTCACATCTTTCTGAGACTTGTCATCTTATGAGCTAAAGTTATTCTGATTTGTCATTGTAAGGCTTTCTTTTCTCCCATCTATCTTAGACGTGAATAAGGCATTACCACACCCCCCCGTAAATACCCCCCGGACATTCCCCCCCCCCGGATATCCCCCCCCCCGACATAACTCCCGTAGTAATTTCCCCCTGTCATTTACCCCACCCCTGTCAATTACTCACGCCCAGTAGGACATTACCCTTCCCCTCATAACTTAAGGTGCAGTTAGGTTTAGGGCTAGAGTTTGGGTTAGGGTTAGCTCTAGGGTTAGGCTTAAACCAATGTCTAGGGTTGAGTTTGAGTAAGTTTAAGGCTGAGGTGAATGTTTAGGTTTAGGCTTTTTCTTAAGATAAAAGTAATATATAAGTATAGAGTTGGAGTTACAATCAGGTTTCTTGGGGGAGCGGGAGGGGGGGGGGGGGTAATTGATAGGGGGTATATGAAGGGGGGGGGGGGGTAATGTCCTAGACCCGTCTTAGACATCGCCTGAATAACTCACTTTAGTCTCGCATTTTACATTTTAACGGCTAGAAACATTCACATTCAAAACCATTAGCTTAGTTAATTATGACAGTATACTGTTTAGCGTTGTGGTTAGGGAGCAGAGGGAGGGGGTGGGTTCGAATCCTAAATGAGTTTTCCAGAAGAGGAGATCACTTTTATATTTTATCATTGAATCCAACCATTGGCTACATCAAATTATTTCTTGGAAGAATTTTTTTTTAATAAATATTTCTACATTTGTTTTTCCTATTTGTTATTTAAAATGTAAATTATGTTAAAAAAGAATTATCACCAGTCCTTCCGTCTTGATATACATCTCTTATATCTATGGTACTTCCCCGTCAATCCAGATATATCTGAAGATGGCCATTTACTATGTAGCCTACCACTACCAAACAACTGGGGCTAGAATTTAGAGACATCAACCCCTATAGTTTACCCCCCTCCTCCATTTATTACGACCCCCCTACCGCCCATATCATACATCATGTGTCAGATGATTTTTAGGGTGTATATCTTTGTTTATGTGGTGCATCACATTGTAATGTGACCAGATCATTGTCATGTGCTTATCATTATGTAAAGCATACCATAATTTGGTGCAGATTATTATGTGGTGCATACTATCATTATGTCAGGCGTACTATAAATTGTGTATATCACTATGTGGTGCATATCATTATGCTGTGCATAACAGTATGCGGTGCATATCATTATCGTGTTGATAGACCTGTACCAATGAAATGAAGTAGATATGTCCAATTCCAACCCTTAGACAAGACGTGCTGAAACCTCTCATTTGACCTCACAAAAAACGGCTGTGTTTGCAAAAAGTTATCTCAGTAAACCAACACAGGCGATGGCCAGTTTTTGTTTGCTGTTATCTGGCCAGCTTGAGAACTTAGATCTTGGTTATTGCGAAATGAGCAAATCTCCAACACTCAGACCACGCATGTTTTTTTTTCTCCTCTGGTTAAACTAACATCGTCTTATTGGGTAGGAGCGTTGATGATTTGTTCTGTATCGACTTGTGGTAAGGTGGTGTTGTAGGGAGGGGGGGGGAAGTCGGGTCGACCGGCGAATTTTGAAATGGCGGTTGAAATTTGGAGGAGGGATTCTTGTTGTGTGACGTGATATTGGTCTGTGGGGGTGACGTACCGATCACGTGATGCTGGTGTGTGAAGTGCTGGTCACGTGAGTCTGTGGTATGACGTACTGATCACGTGAGTACGTCACAATATTGGTCACGTAATATTGTGACGTACCGATCACGTGAGTTAGGTGTGTGGCGTACTAGTTGTAAATCTACCAACGCCAAAAAGATAACGAACAACACTTACATAAGCTAACAGCCGTGTAACATGTGAACGACCCTTAGTTTGATAACCTTCCAATGTGTTGCGCGTTCACCTTGTAAACTGAAGACGTCACCAGTTGTCACACAATATCTTGTTAGAATCTTCGTGTGATCTGTAGATATCTGAATCTAGGCCTAAAAATGTTTCGATAGGGAACATGCATAAATATTTTATACAATCAGTTTTTAAAAAAAATGCCAAATCATCTTAGATATTAAGGTAATTTTTTTTGTAAGTGCTTGGTTAAAGGTTCGTGCTTTGGTGATTGAGACATACAGTGGCGTAGCGAGGTCGGGTGTCACCCGGTGCGGCACTTAATGGTGTCACCCCCCCCCCCCCCCCCCCCAGAGGCGTAGTGACCCTTCTCGAGGACAAACTTTCAAACTTTCGATTTGCACCCCCCCCCTCAAACGTTCGATTTGCACCCCCACCCCTCAAACTTTTGATTTGCACCCCTCAAGTTTTTCTCTATATGTTGTGCAATTTTTTGCCTTGGTGTCACCCCCCCCCCCCCCCTAAATGGTGTCACCCGGTGCGGTCCGCACCCCCCCGTCTCCCCCTCGCTACGCCTCTGGAGACATATATTTTAAAGTCTGCACAGAAAGAGAACACATATCTTAACCTGGAGCACCAGAGCGCTCGAGTAATCTCCATATCTGATGAATGTGCACACATTCGGCACGGAATTGTAGAATTGTATATGCAGTTTTCTGCACTGGTTTTTTTTTTCTGCGTGAAATTGGGGGAATAATATTTGATATTGGAACGTGCGGAGATGGGTGGGAAAGGGGGGAGGGGGTTCTTTTCTTGAGGAAAATTTGAATGGGGACGTTCGTTATATAAGCTGGGTGTGGTGGGGAGGGTGGAGTAGCGGCTGG